TGACCTCCAAGAATGACGCCGAAAGGAAAATCTCCACACACACACCCCCCCAGCTCTGCCCCTCAAAAAAGCCTCCTGTGCACTTAGGGAGTCTTGAATGACAGCAAATACACACCCTGAGCAGAAAGTGACTGGTCAAGGCTTGCTCTTCTCTTTGCTCCTGTCTCACCACCTCCCCTTACTGCTTCTGGTCCCATCCCCTGCAGCCATTTTCTCTCAATCTCACTACTTTCTGCTGTAGTCCAGCCCCACCATCTGTTCTAATCACTACACCCATCAATGATATCACCTGAGCACTAACAAAACGGAAAAATTGGCTCAAAGTTAACTTACTTCTTCCATCTATATATTCATCTATCCGACATCCTGCACACAAATTATCTGTACAACACAACCAACCACCTTTTGACTATGCAGAATCCAGTGAGTTCTAATGCCCTAAGTTTTGACATGGCCAACCAGATCCACTTGCTCCCTCCCTTACACCAGTGACCTCAAACGGCAGGATTTGGCTCTGATAGATTCAGATAATGGTAAAATAAATAAATAAATATTTAAAAAAAAAAAAAGTTATCATTTGAAGGCAACCCAGTTTGCTGTGGCACAAGTTTTGCCTCCTTTTTAATCCATACCCTGCCTAGAATCAGATCCAGCACTTTGAATCTGAATGAAATTCCCCTCCTTTGGTCTGGATCTACGATAAAAGTTAATCTGACCGGAGTGACACCCAAAAACCGATTTCAAATAGATGATGATGTTTGCCTTCATAAAAAGTCTGAGTAGACAAAATGCATTATGTCCACCACTCTTAATGGCATATTTCACTTGATGAAGCTCAGCACCATTCAAGAGGGTCTCACTTCACCCCAGGATCAGGCTCTTCAGCTTTAATCCTCCTTATTTTGGTGTAACAGAGAAGGAAAGGCTGCTTTCCTACACATAATCACAGTATGATTGATCATCTTGATCCCCAAACCCAGGTATTGATGGTGTTCAAAGGTTTTCCCATCTAAGTTCATTGTAAATCAAAATACAGACTTGGTTCTCTCCCCGCTGTACTTCTTTACATCTTCAGTCTCCTCCATCTCCTGGTTTACATGGCAAGCAGACTCAAGCTCACTGCACGGATCCGCACACAGAAACGCCCTATTTGAATTTCCATCTGTCAATAACATTAAAGCAGAACCACCACAGCAATTACAAGTGTACACAATAATCTTGTCGTCCAGCGTCTTTAGCGCATCCCAGAATGCATTAAGATAGCGCCAGGAGAGATTCAGCTCTGTTGGCTCAGCTGTAAATCTGCAATCTGCACAAAAACACCCAAGTGTCAATCAAAAGACGCTCCTGCTCTCCGCGTGGTTCACAATGCATAATTTAGCTACTACGCTTGTCAGGTTCTCCACGCTGCTCTTCTACCCGATGGTGAATGTGTTCATGAACCCAACTGTCATCAACAAAGGAAAACAGCACATGGAAATAACAAGCTAAAGGAGGCAAGAGACCTCTTTTCCTTTCACAGTTAAAGGAACTCTAGTAAGGGAAAGTTTAGATAGACTTTAATTTTTAATGCTCAATGGGATAAATATCCCAAGCAATGGAGGATGTTGAAAAACAACTGCATCGGCTCTGTGCTGAGGAGGACGACAGTGCTTGGGTAAGACACAGGAGGGGATAAAGGCTGTCCCTGTTTCTATGCAGGCTAATATAAAGGGGAAATTTTAACTAACTGATGGGAAGTCTCTGTCACATCCCAAAGCCTACAGTGCAGAAAACAAACCCTACTATACCATCACAGCCTTGCCACCGTCCAGGAACTTTGAAGCAGGTTGTCCTTCCTCATGAATTACAATTTCTGAGGGGCCTTGTCAGAAAGGATGAAAATTTCACACTCAGCTACATCAGGCTACCCACCGGTCTACACCACAGTTAATATGCAATAAAATAGAAATCTCTGTCCCAGGACGTGACTTTAGAGCTGATCAGTGCCAAAGCTACAGACCATAAGGACAGCTTCACACTTGCCTCAGCTAGTTCATGAATAAACATCCAATTCATTCAAATGAGTTCTATATTAACTAATTTAAATAATTTTCATTTTGCTTTGAATGGTAAACAGATCTATTCTGCCAGGATAGTTGAGTTTGCAATTCAAATTACACACCGATTTGTAATGAGAAAAATATAATTAATGGCAAAGCTTGAAGTAACTACAATTTTACTCCTTTGATTTCCTGCAGGGAAGGAGGGGGTGGAGGGTGAAGCTCGCAGGCACACACACACTCACACCATCTTTCATAAACCAATACAATTTATTGCAAACTCAAGTATTTGGCTTGAGGAGTCCTCTTCTAGTCCATTGCACCATAATGTCATGGGAGGACATAACATGACTTGACATTATGCTCACAGGCACCATGATGCAATACTAACGTCACCCAATAAATAATCATGTAACAGTCTGTAAATTAAATGACTTCCTTCTATTGGGATCATAAACAATAATTATTTGGCAGCTGCCCCTTAAAAGCTCTGTGTGCGCTGAACATTAAATCAAGCTCTATTGATTTGCTAAATTGAACGGGCCCATTTTTTTGCATCTCTCTCCCATCTAATGAAATTCTTTGTCCTATCACTCTGTACCATTCTTGCCTGGCATCACAATTATATGATGAGTGCTGATCAGTCCAATCTGATCCATAAGCAGAACCAGAGCATAGTCTCAGTGCTGGTATTCTGCCCATTAAACAAGTCCTTCTTAGCAGATTGGCTTTTTAACCAAAGCCTTCAGCTCCTGATTAAAATCTAACCCTAATGACAGATCACTGGCACTGGCCATGCTGTTTGCATGGTCTTGCCAACAGATATCCTCATTGTAATCAAGATGTGCAGAATCAGGCCCTTAGAAATGGGTCTGTGCAATTTGAAGCCGGCTTTCTTTTCTTCCAAAGGTTTGACAACAAAACAGTGCGCAATGCTAAAAAGGCAAAAAACCCTCCACAGAGTTCCTAGAGAACTGCAGGCTTCACCAGCTGAAACTCTCGGCACTGCAATGAAGTTTGACTCATTAAGACACACTCACTGATCAGCCCAGCAATTAAGCACAGGACAAACTCCAGACCTCCATGTACAGTAAGTCTAGTACTCACAAGCTACTTTTAAAAGCTGACCAGAGCTCGGTTCTCCCTACAGAAGGCGAGGGGCACTCTTGAAAATTCAGCTTCTTCCCTAGGGTGTCCCAATGGGAGCTATGATTTTTTGAAAAACCACCTCTGAACCCTGCGGGCAAACATCCAGAGCAGCTCTGCAATTTGTGAGCACATTTAGGACCTCTCTCTTTTCCAAGTGAGAGAAGTCCCAAAGGCTCAAATCTCCTTGGGCATTTTAGATGCCTCATTCCAAAATTCGACTCAAGCTCTTAAATACTTAAATCTCTTTTGAAATTACAACCTGTGCATTTAATTTATTCTTTCTGAAAACTATACCAAGACATATCCAACAGAGTTTATTCACTGAGAATGGGAGCGGAGGAAAAAAAACTAACCAGGGCAGTTGCCCAAATTTAAGACTCTGGTATACAATTACATCACCCAGCCAGAGGAGAACGCAGGTATGATGCGCTTGAACATTTGCAGTCATTCAAGCAAGACAATCACACGAAGTAGCCAAACCCAAAGAGCGGATTCCAACATTTCCACGAAAAGCAGTTGCCTCTGGTTATAAGACAATCATTATTTTCTATTACAACAGTCGACAAGATCTCTTACACCTTGACCCTCCCATTTTGAAATTTAGTTTTACAGCACTGTACACCTTTCTGGTAACATTGATTACAATCCATGTAGTAAAAGGCAGTTTAAGAGAGAAATAAAATAAAATACCTAACCCCTCTCACACCCGCTTGCTTTACCAGTGCTAAGCCAACAGACTTCTCAACCATTTTTATCTTCAAGACTTCTTTTTTTTTTTTTTTAAGCAATCAATCCTCTGCTTATTCAAAATACACAGATCAGAACAAAACGATAAGTTTAGCTCCGAGTTCGGCACACGCAAGGCAGGAATGTCAGCTCTGATTCAAAGACCGTGTCTACAGCTCACTTCAGTGCGGTCAGGCAACACCTACCCCAGGAGAAATCACACATGGCACACAACTGGCACATACACTTTTTTTGATGGTCACATGTAACAGAAGGTAAAAGAATAACTTCAGCAGCAGAATCCTTAAATGAGATTTTCTTAAACATGCACAAGCTGGAGGCTAAATATTCATCTCTTCTTCCCTTGATCCAGAATAAATGGGATATATGGCGGGAATACACATGAGTAACAGTGACAAGTATGCCTCTGCTTGGAGCTATGTAGTGGTAAGGATACACAGCTCTTCTGTCTATGTACATAGCCAAAAAAACCAACGTATTTTTCTTACATACTGGGGATCAAATAGCATTATTAACAAACTGTTACACATGGGCCACTCGGTAACCTACAGTTCTTGCATCCAGCCTCTGTGCACCTAATCAGCATGTGCCCTAACCTATGACGACCAAATTTTGCTATCTTCAATGACATGTATCTACCACCGGAATTAAAAGCTGCAAGAATCTGGCAATGCAAGGTTTTAAACTTCCAGGGCAAAACATCTGAGTGCACCACCAACTTCTGGTTTTGCTTACTGATGTTATTTTAGTTTGTTCTCACTCTGAATTTCATTCTTCCTTCCTACAAGAACAGGACAATTTTCTCCCCTAACTGAAAACCACAGCTTTACACTTTAGCAGTAAGTTTCCTTGTTAAGACAGCTTCCTGTAGAAGCGCCTTCTGTTGTTACCAACCAGCTAGAGGCTGCCTGGCAAACTGAATCACCCATTGACCCATGGAGAACTGACCCTGACTGCACCACCCAACACCGGTTGAGGATCTGGAGTACCCATTCCAGAAGTCTGGAGATCACCCCCAACCCAATACCAGAGCACGACCCTAACAAAACACACAGAACTCACCATCTGGAGGCATCAGGACCTTGTTATTCTGTGTACACCAGCCAACTGGGTGAAGATCTGCTGTCATCACGTCACACCAGAAATCCGCCCTGCGGTCATCTCCATAGCCACAGTAACGAAGCAATAAGAGCTGTCCACACGTTGTAATGATCGTAGCCACCCAGTATGTGTCCGGATTGCTCTTGTTGGCCACTTCTAATTTCATCCCTGGTTGGAAACTGCTTTGAAGGCTGATTTCAACCTTACAAAATGAGAAAGGCATGGTGTTACCTTTTCTTCTTTGCAGGTGGACCCCCCTACCCAGCTAAGCAAGACAACGCTGCCCGTAAAGAGCAGCTCTGGGACACGAGTTGATTGTGCTCCTCCATAATCCAACCACTCCTTCAAAGTCTGAGAAGGACCATTCCTACTTCACTGGCATACAACCCATCATGCAAGGTCCTGCATGCTCTAAAGAGGCCCTCCAGCAGCAGTAACCTCAGTTGCACTACATCCAAGAGAAGACTGGTACCCATCTTAGCACCATAAATCTCACTAATGTCTGAGAAATGGTAGTATAAGTCAAACGAAGTTGCATTTCCCACTGCACAGCTCCATGAGGCAAATCACAGGACACATGCAAGGTAGAAAGGCAGGTACTACACACCTCTAGGAGTTAAGCCCACCTACAATGATTAGTCATATAAAAACACTGAAGCACCTCTTGAGGCGTGACAAGCATCAGAGGCTGAATGCTATACCAGCAGATCAAGGAGAGCATTTCCACTACATCCATACCCAGCAGCTCAAGCCTCAACTGATTTGCTCTCCCAGCACCCTTGTAAATAAGGTATGATAATCCATCGCTGAAAGAAGCAAATGGTTTGAGTCACTGTCTTGCCATCTGATGGAGATGTCACTTCCATTTATCTCACCAGTGACAGATCACATGTAACTTGCCTTGGGACACTGGAAACGCCAGTGCATCTCTTCTAGGACATTGCAGGGACTGCTGTTAAAACACTAGGGCCTGCTGTGGGCACATTGCATGGTATCTTCCAAGGGCCAATGGGATGTCCCTAGCTGCTGTTGATAAAGAAGAGATGGATGCCAGTCCACAGGTTCAGGTGCCAGACTTGTCTTCAGAAGACCATCCAAAATGTAGCCTGTCACTCCCTATGAGATGCTTAAGGACAGATTCTTACAGGTTTCTTAGTACCTTATATCCTACTGAAACCAGAGAGATTATAAAGGCTGTTTTAAGCCTGTCTCTGATTGACTTCTAATTTAAATGACAGGTTAAAATGCCTCTTTTACTCACAAAGATAAAAATAATATGGCCTACTTGGCCACCTGAGGACTTCACAGACTTGGGGATGCCAAGCTGCAGAGAAAACACTCCTCTGGCATGTCAGCAGAACTGTCTCGCTCATCCCACTCCAGCTTTATGATACAAGTGCTGCCTGGCCAAAGCCACTTATTATTTGCAGGTAACAACACTCAATGTGCCTTTACTTGTGTGGGCACTTCCACCAACATCAATGCCTGGAGTCACAGCGCAGTTAAGGCTCGAAGGGACTTTTGCAGATCATCTAAGACTGAAGAAGGTCTGTGACATTTACTACTTTACTTAGGCATAAGATAGGATCTTAGCTGTTGTGATGCTAAGGGTCCCAGAAATAATCCAGGTTGCCTATTTGACCGTAGTTTTTCTCCTTGCACTCACCTTAAGTAAAGGCCAAAGTGGTATTATGGAGGCAAGGGACTTGTGACTGGAAATCACATGAAGAGCGGCATCAAACCGGCAGATAACAATCTTCTCTGATGGCTCTCAGGTGCCAGGCCAACCCAGGGTTTTATGAGGATCAAGCTTCAGATGTGAAGCATAGTCACTGAGGACTGCTCCCAGCATGAACTTGTCTCACATCGACAGTCCCAGGATTGAGGTACTGTGAGGCACCTCAGTGAGGCGGGCATCTCCACGCACCTAAAGACATCCTTAAGGGCTTCATGAAGCACAAAACTTTCACCTGGATCTGGTATTTGGGTTCAGGCCTGGAGCAGAAACCTCAGACAAGATGCTCTCACCACACAGCTACTGGATGAACAATAAACTTTACAATAAGCCTTCCCCTGTAATTCTCCAAAACAGAGAATTATGGTCCTTCATCCTTCAACATTCCACTGCTGTCAAAACAGAAGCAAAATAGGGAACAGAACAGGATTGTACTATTTTTTCAGATGTAGATGGAAGATACGTTTTTCACCACTGCAGCTCCTTACCCCTTCAAAACAAGCCAAGAAATCACCTGGAGACAAAGTTAGTTTAATGGCATGGCAGCAGTCATCCAAAAAAAGACTTCTCTTAAAGCAGCAACAGGTTCTTCAGGAAGCTTTCTCACTGCGGCACATCTACACTGTTCCCAAAGGACATCTCTGCCAGCAAATAAGACTCAGTGTAAGACAACCCAGAGCATCACAGCTAGAACCCTTCTCTTCTGCCAAAGATGTCCACATCCTCCAGAGCATGCAGACCAGCCAAGTGAAGCTGGGCAAAGAGCCAGAGCGACTGATGAGCAGCTGTAGCAGAACAGGCTGCTACCTACAGCTGATGGGTCAGGTAGGAGGATGAGCAGCACTATCCTCATGGGACTTGCAGCTGAGGACAGAGAACCACTATGACTTGTCATGGCTTGATACAGATAAAGACATCCCAACACCTTCCCTGTAAGCCCCCAACATCTTTGACAGCACAGTCTTACAGCTGAATGACAAAAGATGTCCTGGAAAAATCTACCAATGTGGCCACACATGCACGCCCTTGACTGTGATGAAGAGCTCGTATATCAGCTTCATTTCTGTCCCATGTCCTCATGTGACATCACACACATAGAGCTGAACAGAAGAGGTTAAACAACAGATGGATGGAGAAGCTGGTCCCAAATAACAATATCCTTGTCTGTGATGGTCTCTGGTTGGAGACAGAGTCCTTCTTCAAAGCATGCTCTGATCTTCATCAGTCAGGACTTCAGATGCTTTGAATGCTACTTGTGCTAATGTAGACCAGAGCCATAGACCACGCTGTCACTACTGTGGCTGTCTATATAAGCCACATTCACCCAGGAAGAGTATCACCCACCCAAGTACTTGGTTCTCATGCTCCCAAGACAGCACCTCCAGGCAGGAGGCTGAGAGATGGTCTCCTATGGGCCGTGCTGGGCTCTAGTGCTGAGTGACCCCGCTAGTCAGTAAATCATGCATTAAGTGGACACCTTTGGAGAAATAAGGCATTCTTGTGAGATGAATCTCTACAGGCTGGGATAAACAGCAATGAATACAGAAGAAAAAACCAGATGAACAGAAAAAAAAACCCAAGTGCATTATAAGCAATAGAAGCCCTCAAAAATGGAAAATCTGAACCCAAGGCAGAGAATAAGGCAGTGGCCTAGACAGTGCTCTGAGCTGTGACTGCAGATGATGCAAACACACCGAGTTCACTTAACGCCAGGTGGGGAGCCACTCCTACACAGGTTGCCGCATAGACAGAGGGAGGGTTTCCCCCAAAAATGGTCAGACCCCACTTCAGTTCTCCAGGGACCCCCTGAAAACCAGAAGAGGGAACACGTGCAACACCAGCAAAGCTCAGACGAAGCACGTACGTGTTTGAAGGAGGTGTGGGGAGCAGCGCTGGTTCCTGTTTCCTCCAGGAACTCGTCCCAGTTGAAGTCTGCGTCCTCAATGCTGGAGCCCTCATCTGTTCAAAAGAAAAAAAAAAAAAACGGGAAAAAAAAAAGAAAAACAGCCTAAAACACAGCCAAAGAAGGTAAAAGATGTGTCACAGAGTTCAGCATGAGAATAGCAACCAGTATAAACATCAACACAAGGGAAAACAGAAAGCTCGTTTTAAAGATCTGTGCTTATCTGTTTTCATCGGCTCTTACTATGCTTTCAGCAGACTTTGGGACTTCAGCGGCCAACACTGAGACCAGAAACAACTCTGCTTTCAGAGCAGTGGGGGAACAAACCCGTCACACTGCAACAGGCCCTTGTGCTCTTTTATTTTGTATTTGATGACCCTCTTGCTGCAAGGCAGGTGGCTGCCTGTCCGCTCTCACAAGGGTGCAATGGCCTTGCTCCTGCCCCAAAAGTGGGTCACCTGGCACTGTCAATTACAGCAGTGTCCTAGTGATAATATTAGGAGCTGCTTCTGTTGGCTGAGCAGTGCATAGAGCAAACACCCCGACCCTTGGGGCTGGGGAACCCCATTTTCAGTCTGGCCATCCTTTCTCTCCCTCCTCAGCATCCCTCCACCCAGAAATCTCAGCCGAGGGCCCCACATCTCCCTCTTCGCCCAAGATTACAGATGCCTTCTCCCAAATCCCCCAGCACCCCTTACAAGACCACTATCGCCTTCTTGCTCCCTGCACTTGCCCTTGACCCATTTCAGATATGGGGCCCTGCATCATGCCTCCTCCATCCACACCACTGCCCCACACGATCCTTCCCCATGGTGAAGGACTTGACGTTACTACTCTTTGTTTATTTTGGTTTTAGAACCACGCTGAGCAGAGCAGAACTGAGGCCTCAAACCATCGCTGAAACACACACAGCAATTATTAAAAATAAATCTTCTTTCACTTACAGAAAATCAGCCAAATCTGATTGTTTTCATTTTGTTCCCAAGCAATCTCACAAACCCAGTTTCATCCCCAGAGCAAAAATATTTACAGTCTAGCAATGAGCTCTTTGCAATAAGCATTTATCAGGGAAACTCTGCAAGACCCTTACCTGCCCAAACATTCATCAGCGTGGTCATGATGTAATTAAAGTGACTCATGACAAACTGAATTAAGAAACCTCCCCAGACAGTTTTATGAAGAAAACGGCAGGGTTAATTTATTGCAATTATTGCTACAGGTCTCCAGTTTTCAGGACCAGAAAATTATGTTGTGCAATGGGAACCTCTCATTACCAAGAAGGGAAGACATAGGTTTTATTTGCTGCCTATGGAGCCAGATATACAGAGGCAAGGGGGAAAAAGTGGATCAGAAGAGGGTTTTTGAGACAAAGCTCACGGAGAGTGAAGATCTGTCTGGGAGCTCAAAGAGGAGCGCTGAGCTGTCAAAAGCTGTTAAACACTTTGCACACCGCTGCATCGAGTCTAAGGTCTGATTCCTTGCCTTAAACTCAAATAATCTGCTTAAATATGAAGACGCAAACCGACATTTACTCCCACGCTAAAGTGGCAACCAGATGAACTTTTCAATTCAGCAAGACAAGAAATAACCCAACCCCATGATCACAACCTGAAAAATAGACAAATTCAGCGTAGAATAAGGGATGGGCTTTGTTTTGTTTCTTGTAATCATCACAAAAACCTCCAGGCACAGAAGCTGGCTCTACGTGAGATATGTGACATCAAAATGAGGGGTTTGTTCCTTCCTGACTGAAAGATAAGCCACAGCTTAACCACAAGGAAGGAGCTTCGCGCAAAAATTGCTACGAGTTTCCCTCATCTGTTTCATGCAGGCAAGCAACTTCAATGATCAGGGAAGCTTCTCAGCCTTAATGTCTGCAACCCTGTGGAGCTCATGTTTTAGAGAGGAGCCACGTCCAGAGAATTTAAAGGCTGAGCCTCTAAAATAAAGTATGTTAGTCTGTGAGTAGATGGGCAGAGAAGGTTATCCATCCCAGGCTTAAAATTACATTTTACCCTGAGCACAACCAATCCCTGTCCCACTAAAAGTCAGAAGCATCTGACGAGAAAAGCTAAAACTGCTTCCCCTCTGCCTGGTTGCTCCCTGCTTCTGCACCCAGCTGTGCTTGTGTGCTGAGATGAGCTGCTCAACAACCCCAAGGACATCTTCACCGCAGGACATGTGACATGGACAGGACATTTCCAGGTTAGCCCTGGGCTCTCTTCTCTTCTGCTCAGATACTTCCATTTCAGCGCATAAGGCATTTCCCTCAGCCCATGATGCTCTCTGTATATTCTCAGTTTTTACTCCTGCTTTTTGCTCTAACCTGCTGTGTGAGTCCAGGCAAGTGTCTCCTTTTCTCCATCCTTCCCCGGTACTCTTATAGGAGTCATTCCACAGAGCAGTGGGAGCAGAGATTTTTAGGCCGTTCGGTATGTAACCGCCAGCCCTTGCCGAATTTGCCAACAGCACGTTAATTATGTCAGCATTATAGATGCTAGTCATGGATGCAAGAAGTCCTCCTGTACTTCACAGTCTTACTACCCATGACCAACTCTGCCACGTGCCAACACAGAGAGACTCACTGGCCTCGCTGTTCCCACAGGCCCACAGGCAGGTTCATTCACATGCTGTCCAGCAAAACACACAACAGCACCTGCTTAAAAAGCAGTATCACCCAGATCTCTCCTTTCTAAACCTGAATAGAGAGGCTCCAAGATGCCAAGGGGACACAGCCTAAGAGCTGCAGCCTTCCCTCTCTGTCAGTTCATTTCTCTCTGACACATTACAAGTCTAACTCTTCTACCGTGTTTTATCTGCAGACTTTATCAGGAAATTACTTTTACAAGGTCTGTAAAAATAATGTCAGAGTAGTCATTTAACACAGCATCAGCGTTTTATTTTGCTTTGTTTTATCACAAAGGATTCTGAAGAGACTGTAAGTTTCCGAAGTGTTTTTTTTAATGGACTTTGTTCCCTTCTAGAAATCTGGCAGGGGGAGCATCCAGAGCAGAGACAGCATGGCCCAGGGATGAGTCCAGCCCAAGGGACTCAACCCCATCCACGTGTGTAACACGACTGTGCACAAATCTCCTCATCCTTCAGAAAAGCCCTACTGCTGAGGACACCTCTTCCCAACCTCTCTCAGTTGCCTGGAGATCCCCCAACTAAAAGGCAGGCAGAGAAATGCAAATTCTCTTCATATACAACAATGAACTCTGTGCCCACTTGAGAAGCCGTTATCACTAAGCCGATCTGTTCATCACTCCTCAAGTCACGCGCTCCAAGAACAAAGTCCCAGCTCTGCTGGATTGCTGCAAAACTCCAGGTGCCAATGTTTCACAGAGTGCCCTGTGAGATGATAAATTCGGCATTAGGCCTATTTTGCATATCAGCTCCCTTTCCAATTATTGGCATTTAGGCCCAGTGCTCTTTCTTAATGAAAGACTCAAGGCTGGCTGGCCTACAATACGGTGATGTATAAACAAGCCCAGGACGGCAAATAAAATCAACAAGTCATTATCTGTGAGCCTCTCAATGGCTTTAAAGTGCTCGTGCACTGACACTATAAAAATGCAACTGTTCCAGCTGTTAACAGCCTCCCAGGATGTCTGGCTACGGGAAATAAAGGGGCTAAAAGACCCAAAACCTGTGGCTCCAGAAACACAGATTTTTCCCAGGTTTCACTGAAGGAAAATGTATTTGTGGCCAATTGCTTAGCCATCTTCTCACAGCACATAGCTATACACTTATGACTTTTCGCGTGAACATGACAAAGATTCAAAGACCCGTCATAGCTTTTCAATGGGTGGTGTCCAGGAAAACAGGAAAATCACTGAGTCTCTACAAGCATTCACTGGGTGGCCGAATTTCTGAGGTGCTGAGGGAGAAAGTGAAAAGTGGACCGAAGACACAGCTCTGCAAAGGACATCAGCACAACACTGACCAATAAAGCACAAACAGCACCACTGAGGAGAAAGGCACCGAAGGCAAAGCACGTAGAGTTTCTACGCAGCCACCCCAATGCTGCTACCATTGCATTTGAGGAGTGTTGACTCAGCGATTCACCACTGGCAAAGCACCTATTTCCACAGAAGTAGACTTAAGGCATTCCTTTAGGAGGCCCACCTGCAAGCACAGACTTTCATCTGCCATTTACATCTCAGGATCCTTTTGGCAAGAATAGCTCTTACAGAAATGCAAGTGAGTTCTGGAAAAGCATTCATGCACATGAGCACCAACACAAGCACCACAATGCAAAAATGAGCCCTTTTGTACAGATTAACTGACTGATAGCCCAGTGTTGTTCTCTACAAGTTCATCAGTTGAGTTCTCCCATACAAACACAGAGTAAAAATGAAGTTACAAATTATAGCTGAGTGAAATTAATAATTCAGCGTCACTGGGAGAGGCCCCATTCCCACCAGCATGTGCTCCGGCCCCCCCTCTTCCTCCTGCCAGTTCAACACTCACAAAGCTGGCAGAAAATTATTGACTTTTTTTTTCTGGATTAACTTTCTGCTGGGTTAGCAAGTTGATTGACTCAGCTCAAGGTGTGATGAACAGCAGATGTGGAGCAAGATAAGAGATGCTATAAAGAGGGGTCTCCCGTTTTCACATTAGAAATAAAAGATTGGGTCTAGTCATACTGTGCAACTTTACCATAAGATACAGTCTGCTCCTGTTAAGGCTAGACATGGGAAGTCAAAGCACCTAATTCCAGCAGAAATCACCAGAAGCTAGCACTTAGTTTTCTGTATCTACCATGACAATGCCCAAATTTTGTGCAATGAATCCTCACCTTTAGGTGCCCAGCCCAGAGCACGATAGAGCATCCAGTCATACCCATGAGCACAAGGACAACAGGTGACCAGCTCTCTGCTGGTGGGTCCAATGTTTGTGAAGCCCTCTCCCCTGAAGCACTCAAAAAAATTGTGAAGGAAATGAGTGCAAAGAATGTCAAAACAAACGAGAAATGCCGTAATTTCTGAATGTTCATTTCCTGTCTTTAACCACAAAACTTCAACAAAGTGAAAAAGGGTGGGGAAACTGGAGAAACACAATTACGATGTCTTGGGAAATGTTTTCCATTGCTTTTTGTTTAGATTTCGAATAGCTGCCTCGTACTGATGACATCCAAAACAAGAAAAGCTCAAATCTCCCAATCCACCAACCACGGGACACAACCATATCCGTAAGACTCAAAAAAGGCCTTCAAGATGTAGAAACACTCCCAATGCTCCCCTGGCAACATGGCAGTCCCCACCTCTACCAGTGATCAGTTGGAGGGCTGTAACAGTGAAGACAACCCATGGGGGTGAAGGAGAGCTCACCTGAATCAAACTGCTCCGTGTTGCCGTTGGCCGGGCTCTGAGCCTTCTCTGGGGAGAGATGCTGGGTCTCTTGCATGGTGGCAATGAAAGACGCCCTTGTCTCCATGGTTCAGAGGAAGAGGCCTTGCCTTCCTAATTCATCCTGACAAAGGGAGCGCCTAAAGCACGAGCTAAAAGAAAAAGAAAAAAACAATGACTGGTTTGTTCTACCTACACCATTCCCTCAGCCTTTCCTAGTGGTTTTCAAGTTATCCCATGTTGACTGTTAACACTTTGATCCTGCTCTCTCCTCCAAAGCGAAGCTAGAGTTGGATGAGAAACCACAACGAAGGATCTTAGTGGCAATAATATTATAACAGCAATAACAACAACAATAACAACAGAGAAGATAATGAGGTAATAAACAGCATCCACAGGATTCACATCTCAAAGTTCAGACCAGCTCCCTCTACGACCAACAGAGAGGGAAGGACCAGCCTATAAGGTGGCACAACCCATGCCAAAAAAAAAAAAAAGGCAGGAAAGACCAACTCAGCCATCCTCCAACAAGTCCAGCCCTTGACTTCCAACTTTTTTGACGGTTAACACCGTGCGAGATGTATCCCACTCCGTAAATATTCAAACTTCCAAAGGGGAAAGGGGGAGATTTGTGATAACAAAACAGAGGAAACATTGAGTGCTTGGGAGAGACTGGAATAACCCTAGAAAATTAATTTCAGCATGCAAAATGCAGATACCCTAATGAAATACTGCTGGCTGCAACTGTTTTTCGAATGAAGACTGACCTAAGGTAACTGCACCAGTTAGTACCATGCAGGGTAGAAAGTATTAAATTGGGTTATGTTGGCAGAAGATTCTCTTCTAGAAGGAATAACCATAGTAAATACAAAGTGGAATAAAAGCACATAGAGATGAAAAATTATATGAGAAAGGGAATACAGACTGACTAGATCTTGAATCAGACACCAGACTAAATGAGAACTATATTTCTATCTACAGTAAGCTACCAGACAAGCAATAGCCAGAGAGATACACCTTTAGCAGTGGATTAAAAAGAACTCTGAAGTGAGTTTTTCAGTAAAACTCTCGAGATGGTGATGAATTATGAGGTGTCAAAGGAGGACTGAAAAAGAGAAACCAAGAGCTCAGGTTATGGGCACAGAGGGAACCAGCTATTCACACAAGATACGCTAAAGCAAAGACAGATAGTACGGAGGTGTGTGTCCAGAATACATGATGGGGAGGACTGGTTCTGCTTATTAGTGGATGCCTCCAAGACCCGCATGACAGAGAGGACGACGCTGGCAGTACCGACACCAAATGCTCTGCAAGAAGCGTGACTAAAAGTAGGAAAAAAGTTTACTGCCAGAGGCCAGGCAAAGCAGGAGGTAATAAGATAGTAAAAATATTATGGGACTTTTTCAACATTTACTACTCAGGAGGCACATTCAGGAAGACCAGATACTGTGGCTGTAAAACAGAAAGAGGGAGAGTGTTCTGTCTTAGATTTTTCATTCCCAATTTTTAAGGCTGTTCCAATGAAAACTGCAAGGGCATGTGTGAGCAGTTATAGGAAGAACTGAAAAAGATGAGGAGCGTGTCAAGTGTAAGTGTAGTATCCATCATCTGAACCATGGCAGGACTGTCTGCTGAAGCAATCACAACAGCATCGTGGTGACTGCAATTAAACGATGCTGAAACCATGGGTGTTTCACAAAGCATCACTGGTAAAAGCAAATTACCAAGGCGGGTGACGCAAGCCCGAACTGAAGGTTATTTGGGCAAAGTTAGACCCCCATCAGAAATTTGTGTTCCGCATCCCCAAGGAACACGCTAATGAAAGAAAAAAAAATATTTTAAGAAAACAATTCAGAGCAATATACTTGTTGGTCTCTTTGCAAAGTGCTTAGTACACTTCAAGGACTCCATAAATAATAACGATCACTTCCCCACTGCAATGGCCACTACAGCACTTCATCTTTATTCTTTGTTGACATGAGACTTGCTAATGAATTAAATGTATTACATACTATGAGTATTTTGAGTGCAGCTAACCTCAGAACATATATATCACTCATCCCCTGTGTATATTAAGTTTCAATTAACTATGAAACTAGAAGCAATCAGTCTACTGAAAGTCAAAAAACACTTCTCCTTTGGTAAAGAATATTTCCGTAAATATCATTAATAATAAATTGCTTAAGTATTAGGATTTTACATCAAGCTTGCTAAATATGAGAGGAGGGGAGGTGTCAGCAGAACCTAAACCTTGGGTGAATTCAGTTGTTTTCATTTTTGCCAAGGACCAGACAATGACGGAACGTAATTTTGGTCTCATAAAATAAAATTCAAAGAACAGAGAGAAACAGAGAGATCAATTTAAACACAACATATCAATCATCTTGAACAACACTCAAGGGTAGCAATATAAATACCAAGAAGAAAGATAAGCTACTTGGTAGTGTAGTTAAATCTTGTGACTCTCCTATGATGCTGATAAGACAAAGCTATGAGCTGATAAAAAGCTGGAGGTGTCCAAGCAGACGACGACAGTATTTGCTGTTTCTCATGCAGTCAAGATCCAAATCTGCCACCAGAACCATGAGAAAGGCCGCTTCCCCTGGGTCAAGGAATTTTCCCATCATAAATTCAAAATGGATGGGAAAACCAGCAGGAACCTGCCCGAGGCGTCTGCAACACAGCTGGGATCCATCTTCAGTGGCCACATCCAAGGCTGGGCTCGAGCCCACTTTGATTAAAAGTGGGCAGCACAGAATCTCTTAGCCAGATTCAGCAACGTCATCAACATTTTTGTTTGTTTAACTCTACTTTGAAGCATTTTTCGCTTAAGCTATGGACACCTCACTGGTTTTGAAATGTCATGTCATGTCATCCCAAGAAAACTGGATGTGTCAGAAGCTATGGCTTACCTTCTTATTTCGGGAATAACTAGTCTACCATTTACAGCAGGAGAGCACTGAAGGATTTTCCGAGTACTATGTGACAACAAGACCAAACTCTTATGCAAACACAAGCTTCAAGATAGCTCTGAGCCTTGGTGTTGATATAACTAACTAGCAAAGAAAGCTGACATAGGGTATTAATTTTTCACTACTTATTAATTGCTGCTAATTAACACTTCAAACAGAGTCCCCAGCCATACTGTTAACAGTAGCATGCTGACTGGCCTGCAATCATCAACAAACAAGCAGCACACACCGCTGTACTCTGATTTCTCTCTCAGTCTGAAGAAACATGTGTCCACTGGAAACCAAATTAAGGACCGCAAGCCACACTGCCAGCCTGTAAACCAGGGGATGGGAAACAACAGCAAAAGAGGCTCAAGGTGACACTACACCAGGCAGGAACACAAAGGAAAATATTATTAAATGCATTTGAAGGAACAGGAAGGGGGGAGATTCCCTGGTTTCAGATCCCTTGTTCATTGTTTCTGCACAGTGGTGGTTCAAACTGATCTGATTCTTCCCCCATGCAGCTCCCATTCCCCTGGTATTTAATTCAAATCCAGACTCTTAATTCACAGGCAGAAAAAGCCAGCCAATATAAAAAAGAATCTCTTTTATTTCCTTCTTCCCACGGCTGTCAGTCTTAGCCACACCATTATCTCAAACACGCTGCCCTGTCATCTCTATCAATATTGGCTCTTTGTACAAGTGCCGGCGTTGGCTTCCTCACACTATTTTACATTTCTCATCTCCTGTCGACTCCACCCTTTTTCCTTCCTTTGGAGTAAGCCCCTGTAGGGAGAGGTCCCCTACCCACACACACAAATCCAGCACCCCTACAGCTCTCCCTTAGAGTTAGTCCTGAAAAACTTACATTCTCCCTCCAATACATGCTTGGTTAATTGGGACTGACATAAAAAAGGCAGGCTACCGGAACAGAGGATGCAGAAAAGATCCTACATCCTGGAAACCTCCTGCCTGGATAATGCATCAGTTGTGCCCATGTACCACCAAGCCCTGAAGGGTGGAGAAGCAGAAATCCCATGGCTTTCCCAATGATCTGGCTCCTGTCTCTAAAATTCAGTTACATTCATTGACTTGAGATGGTCCCACCTCTCAGTAAGGAGCTACTTGATGAGCACAGCAGGGCTGCAGTAAGGGCTGCCAGCTTGACCCCGTGTCCTTGGTGAAGAGCCCCTACGAGGGACATGGCTGGGGGGAAGGTGGGTCACTGAGCAGCTCCAGGGCTCCCTGCATTTCTGGAGCTCAACCCCAGGTATGTTGGGATATAAGGAATCCCCATTTCTTTTTCCAGCCAAGTTGGAGGGAAGCTGAAAACGGGGTGGCTCCAGCAGACTTCCCTGGTGAATACTATCTGCTGATTTCATCCAGTCCCCTCAAAGCCAGCAGGTACCATGTGCAACTTCACGCAGCCTTTACCATCTTCAAGCCTTCTGCAGGACCATGAGTGAAAAAGCCACTGCAAAGCAATCCAGGAAACCATTTTGAAAAAAATGAGACCAGATCCACCTGCCTGAACAACCAGGAAACCGCAGCAATTGGTGCTGAGGTTCTCAGGAAGCAGGACACGACTGTGCTGAGACCAGCCCTGCCTCAGCCCAATCCTGGAGCTGAGACAGCCACTCCAGTTGTCTCCTCCCCCATCCTACTTTCAGAACACATCGGGGTTTTTTATGTCCCTGCTAATGCCCCCCACCTGGCCAAATGACTTTTCATCAGGTAAAATGGGAGCACCTAGGCCTGAGCAGATGGAGCAAAAGCCCAGGCAGGACACAGGTGATACCCAACCAGGTCCTGACTCCATTGCTGACTTCACCTTGGGGTTCTCCAGCACAGCAAACCCCCATGAAACTGCACTACAAGAAATGATGCCCATCAATCCTACCCACCTCATTGAGATTCTCCCCACCTTGTCAGTCATTTGCAGTTAACCGAGAGAAAACATCTCCAAAGGATGGTTTGTGTGGTCCAAGTCCGACACCCAAAATTCAGATGAGATGAACAACCCTCAGGGGGTGCCAGTGAACAAACTGAAGAAGTGAGATGCTCAGATGGCATAGAGTATTGGCCTTGTATGTGGAGCAGGGTGAAGGCGGACTCAGCGCTGTGGGACTAGATCTAGGATGCATGGGAGCTGGCTGCCACAAGACTGATCCTGAATCATGCTTTCCCTCCTCGGG